GCCGGGTATGGCGGCTCACGCTTAACAACTCGACATTTTGGGAGGCAGGATCACTCAGGGCTAGGAGTTGAAGACTAGCCTGAGCAACATGGCAAGATCCTGTCTCAAAAAAAATTATTTTAAAAAAATTTTTTTTTCTTTTTTTTTTTGAGACGGAGTCTCGCTCTGTCGCCCGGGCTAGAGTGCAGTGGCCGGATCTCAGCTCACTGCAAGCTCCGCCTCCCGGGTTTACGCCATTCTCCTGCCTCAGCCTCCCGAACAGCTGGGACTACAGGCGCCCGCCACCTCGCCCGGCTAGTTTTTTGTTTTTTTTTAGTAGAGACGGGGTTTCACCGTGTTAGCCAGGATGGTCTCGATCTCCTGACCTCGTGATCCGCCCGCCTCGGCCTCCCAGAGTACTGGGATTACAGGCTTGAGCCACCGCGCCCGGCCAAAAAAATTTTTTTAAAGCCCAGACTTGGTGGTACATGCCTATAGCTCCAGCTATTCGGGAGGCTGAGGCAGGAATATCGCTTGAACCCAGGAGTTTCAGGCTGTAGACTATGATGGTACCTGTGAATAGCCTGGGCAACATAGCAAGACCTCATCTCCAAAAAAAGACAAAAGAACTAAATTATTCTACTGCAGACATGATAAGGTAAGTATCTCCAAAGTAGAATGACAGGTTTCATATTTTCATTAGTTTGAGTCTGTCCTTCCAAATCAATCTTGTTTTTTATTAGTATACAGATGGTATAGCCGATAAGTAAATGAGAAGCAGTCTTTTAAAGCCATCAATCCATTCTTAAATGAGAAAAATATAAATATTTTAGAATAAAGTTATTCTAAAGTCGTAAAATTTTTAAATTTGGATATTCTGGGAAAATATTTAAACCACTATTGCAAACAAACAACAAAATGTACTTATGTTTATGCTTAGGCACAAAGAAAACTACAGTATTTTAAAATAACAATTGTAGAATATTGAGGTTGCAAAGATTACTGAAGGCATAACCTAAAAAGTGAGTTGATTTCTAAAAATGGGAAAAGGGGAAAAAAATAATTTCTAAAAACAAGTATGCATACCTAAACCTAACAACACCTTAGAAATTTCAAGTACAGCACCATTCATTAACATCAATGAGGATGTCATCACACATCATGCAGCCTCTGTACACTGTCAGAATAAATGAAAAAGGCAGGCATCTTGCTATCATGACAATAGTTTTGATCTCGCAGACCTCTCTGTGCTTAGGCAATGGATAAAGCCATAAGAACTGTCCTGCCCGCAAGGAGCAACCTAAAGTAGGAAAAAAACAAAATTATACAATTATTATTTACAATTGTGAGAAGAGTTCTTGAAACATTCAGATGGAGGATACAGTGTAGTAGGGGTGAGGGTATCAAGAAGGCTTCCTTGAGAAGTGATGTTCTGAGACCGTTCTCTCTTCTCAATAACTGATATTTGGTTCCTGAATCCTTTAACTTCCTTACCATTGTCACTCCTAAGCCAAAGCTCATTACCTCATGTCTAGAATACTGTTAAGAGAACCAATTAAGTGGTCTCTGTAGCCCTCAATTTATTGGTGTATCTATGGGAAAATTGCTCAAACTCTAAGCCTTAGTTTCCTACTCTGTAAAATGGGGTTTTATATATAAGGAACATACTAAATACACAGGTATACCTCAGAAACACTGCAGGCTCAATTCTAGAGCACTGCAATAAAGCGAATCTCATGAATTTGTTGGTTCCCCAGTGCATATAGTTATGGTTACACTATACCATAGTCTATATTAAAAGTGTACACAGTAGCATTATGTGTAATTGATATACGTCACTGCCAAAAAAAATGCTAACAATCTTTTTGCTGGTGGAGGGTCTTGCATCAATGTTAATGATGGCTACTGACTCGTCCGGGTGGTGGTGGTGGTTGAAAATTGGGATAGCTGTGGCAATTTCTTAAAAGACAATGAAGTCTGCCACACTGACTTCCTTTCACAAGACTTCTCTGTAGCATGTGATGCTGTTTGATACCATGACAGCATTTTACCCACAGTATAACTTTTTTTTTCTTTTCCTTTTTTTTTTTTTTTTTTTACCCACAGTATAACTTCTTCTTTTTTTTTTTTTTTTTTCTTTTTCCTTTTTTTTTTTTTTTTTTGAGACTGAGTCTCGCTCTGTCGCCCAGGCTGGAATGCAGTCAGCTCACTGCAAGCTCCACCTCCCGGGTTCACACCCTTCTCCTGCCTCAGCCTCCTGAGTAGCTGGGATTACAGGCATGTGCCACTACGCCCGGCTAATTTTTTGTATTTTTAGTAGAGACGGGGTTTCACCGTGTTAGCCAGGGTGGTCTCGATCTCCTGACCTCATGATCCACCCTCCTTGGCCTCCCAAAGTGCTGGGATTACAGGCGTGAGCCACTGCACCTGGCCCCCCTCTTTTTTTTTTTTTTTTTTTTTAAAGACAATCTCACTTTGTTGCCCAGGCTGGAGTGCAGTTGTGCCATCTTGGCTCACTGCAACCTCCTCTTCCCTGGTTCAAGAGATTCTCCTGCCTCAGCCTCCCAAGTAGCTGGGACTACAGGTGTGCACCACCACACCTGGCTAATTTTGGTAGAGATGGGGTTTCACCATGTTGGCTAGGCTGGTCTTGAACTCCTGACCTCAAGTCATCTACCAGCCTTGGCCTCCCAAACAGCTGGGATTGCAAGCGTGAGCAACCACACCCAGCCAGTAGAACTTATTTCAAAATTGAAGTCAACTCTCTGACACCCTGGCACTGCTTTATCAACCAGGTTTCTGTAACACCTAAATCGTTTATGGTCATTTTGACAATGTTCACAGCAACTTCACCAGTAGATTCCATCTCAAAAAACCACTTTCTTTGCTCATCCCTAAGAAGCAACTCCTTATCCGTTCAAATTTGATCATGAGATTGCAGCAATTCAGTCACATCTTCAACACTGTACTTCCAATTCTAGTTCTCTTGCTATTTCCACATCTGCAGTACACAAAAGGCATTCAGTAACTATTATTAGTTCACTTCTTCTACCGATGTCTCCATTATCTTTTGCCTATAGTATGCACTAGAGTATGTTACCATTATTTGTTATTAGTACCACCTCATTATTACATTATTTGTAAGCAGTACCTGAAGGTCTGAGATTAGATTTTAAATCAAGGTCAGTAAAAATAGAAAAGGCTATGAAGACTGTTGACTAAGTTTACCAGAATCCATACACCAGAGATGAGATTAGTTAGGTGATAAAATAACCATTCTATAAACATGATCTGAAACTATGTTACTATTGTCAGCAGGAAAAGTCAATTTTACATACGTTTAAAAAAGAAAAAAAAAAAACCCAAAACCAGAAAACAAAAGGTGACAAAGTATCAGGACAAACAAAAGGTCACTTATGACTGATCTCTAGGAAAAAAGCTGGAAAGCAGGATTATTAAATGTAACCATGACTAAGATAAAAATCAGAGGCAGAAAAAAAAAAAAAAAAATTCAGAGGCAGAAAGTCTTTGTCACCAAGAAGATACACTGCATAACAGAAGCAGAAACAATTCATCAGGATTAACCCTAGTCTAGATAAAACTATTTGATTCAATACTAACACTTCTCTAATAATCCAATATATTATCCAATCTCAAGAAGAGAGAGTCACGGATAAGAAGTCTTCTTGAGAAGTATGTCCTCTAATATAAACTAATATGCCACTAAGAAAGCAACCTGCAAGTCCAGTACCAGACTTCTGGATTTGTGACCTAACAAGGTGCTCTACAATTAACCTAATAGTCAAACTAGAGTGTTGCAAACCAGAATTATATAATTATGCCAAACCTCCATTCACAAAAAATATATGGAAGTAACCTATCTAGTTTAAATTTTGCAAATCTAACACACACACACTAGCCCTCACTAAACTTTCACCAGTTTTCTCATGCAAGTACAAGTATGTAATATACTTAATAAATTTGTCTTACAAGGGTAAGAAGTAGTATGTAACTACTTGAAAAGGAGATAGGTAGCTGGTTAATTTAAACAAAAAGCCCAAGGAAGTAAAGCACAGGAAAAGGATAACTGCAATGGTTAATACAGGAAACCCAAAGAACTGAATGGTGGGATAGATGTTTTCAGAGACCACGAGGCATCAGTTTCCTCTATGAATAGAATATTAGGAGACACAGGTTAAATGTGACCCTGAAGTCTCTCCCAAAAAGTAGCCTTGTTTATATGTTTTGTGAGCTTAACTATTACTGGAGAATCAATTTCACATATAAACCAACAAAACTAACATTAATTGAGCTCCCAGCTCTGTGCTTAGGCACTGAAAAACAAATCACTTTCCTTAAGGATTGCAATTAAGCAGGAGAAACACAAATAAAATGAACTTCTCTTTTTCAAAAAAATGTATTTCAACATTCCTTTTAAAAGGAAAACCTGACCTGCAAGTTTCCAAAAATATTACTATTCCTCTTTGCCTCTCAAAATTCCCATTGTTGTTTTTTAGGAGAAAAAAAACAGTTCATTTGAGGAAAAATTGAGGGACACATACTGTACAACTGAGAAGAGTTTCTCTGAAATTGTAATCATTTTTGGCAGGTAAATAGGCATATCCGAGTCAGCAAATCAACTTGAAAAGATACTGAATTATACTGCCTGCTCTATGGGGTTCCACCTTCCCCAAAAGAATTCAGAATTTTTGGGTGGTCTGAGAATCTGCATTAAGAGAACTCTCAGCACACAGGAGGTTTGAAGACCGCTGACCTAAGGGTCTTATTTTCTAAAGAGAAACTTTAAAATGTATTTTTTAAATGTATTTTTAAAAGTATATTTAATGGCCCAGGGCGGTGGCTCACGCCTGTAATCCCAGGACTTTGGGAAGCTTAGGCAGGAAGATCACTTGAGCCCAGGAGTTCTAACCTGCACAGCACAGCAAAACACCATCTCTACAAAAAAACACAAAAAAATTAGCTGGGCATGGAAGCATATGCCTGTAGTCCCAGCTACTCAGGCGGCTGAGGCAGGAGGATCACTTGAGCCCAGGAAGTTAAGGCTGCGTAAACCATGATTACACCACTGCAATCCAGACTGGGTGGCACTAAGACTCCATCTCAAAAAAAAAAAAAAAAAAAAAAAAAAAGATAATTAAAATGTATAAGATACTATATTAGCATATAAAAAGCATTTGGTGTTAAAATGTTGGTATAATAATTCCTCAGATAAAACTTATTTTGTGATTGTTTTCTGTAACTCAAGATATGATGCTTAGAGCTCCTCCAATCAAGTGTTTCCAAGAAGTAAAAACTTGTAGGACAGAAATTTAGGCTGGGTGCATTTATATCATACAGACCTATTCTTCATTTAAGTTCTGATATATTTAACTATGTAGCTCCTGTAACAGTTTAATGGAATCTCACCTCCCTAAAATTCATTATGCATTTTTTTTGAAATCCAAACTCATTAACACTTGCTTTCACTGTTGTCCAAGGCAGGCACATCTTTAAAAATGTTTTGTTGGACTTAGCTTTCAGCTAAATATATATATAAAAAAAAAAAATAAAACAAGCAGTTAAATAAAATTTAATGGGCCAGAGAGCTTCAGCTTTTATTTCCTTATTGCTCAATACAAAGAAACAATCAATGTCCATGTATTCTGTAATCCACAGAATAAGTCTGGGGCTACAGCTACACTGTCCACAGTTGCAATTTAAATTAGATAAAATTCAGTTATTCAGTCATGCCAGCCACTTTTCCAATGCTCAAGATGAATAAAATGTCAAACCATAAAGACATTTACATGTCGCTCAGTCCACTTACTTAGGGTTCGCTAGACATCAGAGTATACTAGGAGCTCAGGAGTACAAGACACAAGACACTGTTCCTTCAAAAAGCTCAGAATAGTTAAGATAGTTTAAATCAGCAATGACAACAACCCGAGAAGTACTATGAGCCACGCAGTACAAACTGCTCAGGAGTCAGGAGAAAACTCCTTTTTTAATAGGGGAGTTTGGCTCAGAACAACAGACCATGGAAGGCATGACCAAAGGGGAGATGACATTTGAATCTGCAGGATTAAAAGCAGCAAGGGTAGCATTCCAGAAAGAACCACTTCACAAAGATGTATGACAATGTCTATGATTTGGGTAACTGCAATTCATTCCATGTGACTTCAGGAGAGAGGTCATGTTTGTGCGTGTAATATGTGGAAAATAGTGAAAAATGAAAAAGCTTTTAAATTGAGGTAAGTCTATCTGGGGACCTTATGCATCACATTCACGAGGACAGAATTCATCCTGTAAACCAGGGGTGTCCAATCTTTTGGCTTCCCTGGGCCACATATACAGGATAGCTGATGAGAAAAAAAGAAACAAAAAAACACCACCACCACCAAAAAAACAAAACAAAAACACCCCGCAAACAAATCTAACATTTTAAGAAAGTTTACAAATTTGTTTTGGGCTGCATTCAAAGCTGTCCTGGGTCCCATGCACCCGCGGGTTAGACAACTTGCTGTAAACAGTACAAGCCAGTAATGGAGTTTCATCTGTCATTTTAACGTTCTATCTTCCTTTAGGACAATCATTCTAACAAGATGTAAGATGGATCAGAATATAACACTAAAGACAGAGACAGCAATTTGGAAGCTATCACACAGGCATCTGAGCTCAGTTACTAACTGTTGAGAACAGAAATAAAGGGATGCCTCGAAAGGTATTCAGAGGAAGAGAAAGGGAGATGTTGCCTAACCTCAGGTCCAATTCTCTGTAAAGCAGTAGTCAAGATCACCTGGACTGTGAAGAGGGTCAGGGATAGAATCCCAGCTAAGGAAATAGGATAAAATGAAAATCCAGGTAAACACTTAAAGAACGAGAACTAGGGAGGAATAAAAGCACTGCTGGGTAAGAGTAAGGCCCCAGCTCAAGCCTTAATTTGTGGTGGAACCAATCTATCTGGTTTCGTGAGTCACCAGGCTACCCAAGATCAAGAGAGGGAGAAAGCTAGTGCTATGTCTGAATACTGGATGAGCAAGTACAACAAATGGAAAATGGGATCAAGTATGAGTGAGAGTTGCTAAGATGCCTGGTAGGGATGCAAAGGGGGAGAGAGCCTGGGGGGAGGTGGAAGGAGGGAAGCACTGGTTTCTCAAGCAAAGGCTAAAATTTTTCTATTAAGATTTAATCTGATGCTACACTTTGGGGGTGCAGCAAGGGTCTCAAATGGCATAAAACTTAGGTGATCATGCTTTAATCTACGTCTATCTCTAGAAAAATACCCCAAAAATGGTAAGTAGTGATAATCTGCACTCTAGTTGCATAAAATCAGCCCCAGGTGAATGACTAGGCTCTATTTCCCTACCCCACCCTCATTACAATAACCTCGACACCAACTCAAGTCCGTGGGAAGATAACTAATCGGACTCGCCCCTCAAATCTTACACCTGCTCACTCCCCTGCAGGGCAACGCCCAGGCACCAAGTTAGCCCCTTAAGCCTAGGCAAAAGAATCCCGCCCATAATCGAGAAGCGACTCGACATGGAGGCGATGACGAGATCACGCGGGCGGGGAAAGGAGGGAGGGCTTCTTCAAGGCCCAGGGCGGTCCTTACAAGACGGGAGGCAGCAGAGAACTCCCATAAAGGTATTGCGGCACTCCCCTCCCCCTGCCCAGAAGGGTGCGGCCTCTTCTCCGCCTCCTCCACCGCAGCTCCCTCAGTATTGCAGCTCGCGCCGGTTTTTGGAGAACATGCGCCTCCCACCCACACACCAGCCGGACCGACCCCCGCTCCTCCCCAACCCCCACGAGTGCCTGTAGCTTGTCGGGCTTGTCTTGCCCTTCAGGCGGTGAGAACCCGGGGCGGAGCCGCCACCGTCGCAATCCAGAAGTCTCGGCCGGCAGCCCGCCCCCGTTTCCAGCGCGCGCTTCCTGCCACGTTGCGCAGGGGCGCGGGGCCAGACACTGCGGCGCTGGGCCTCGGGGAGGACCGTACCAACGCCCGCCTCCCCGCCACCCCTGCGCCCTGCGCAGTGGTTTCGCTCATGTGAGACTCGAGCCAGTAGCAAAGGCCCGCTCCCACAGCATCGGCAGCCAATCAAGTGTCGAAAGCAAGCAGGCGGCGGGTAAACCGACTCCCCCGAAGGAAGGGGAGGGTGGAAGGACGCCCGCGCCGGAGCCCAATTTCACTGACCCTCCCCTCAAGCGGCGGGAGGCCGGCCGCGCCCGCACACCCAGCATCACCCCACCCCACCTACCTATCCGCCCCACCCAGGGGGCATCGCGAGCGTCAGCAGGCGGCTGCGCACTCCCGACTCTGTAACTGACAGGCGCTTTACTCCAACCAGAATACGCCATTTGTGTTTTCACACACGGCGGGAGGAGAAATGGCCAATCAGCGACAAGCGGCAAGCCGGAAGCGCTCCTCCCTCTGCGAGAGCAATGGCTCCGTCCGGTTTCGAGCATTTTCCGCTCCCTTCTCCCTCCCCCTCCGGTTGCCGCAGGGCGGGCCTCCCTCCCGCCTGCATCCAACCACCCCTTTCCCTCCCGAGGTAACAAACATTATGTTCCCGACTTCCCACGGGAAAGGCAACCCCCGCAAGCCACCAGACGGTCACCCCGGCCACCCATCCCCCCCAGTACACCGCACCTCCCCTTCCACCAGAGTTCCGCTCCCCTACCTAGCCGAGGCTCTCTGAGGAGCCGGAGCCCCAGAGTACAGCCTCTTCTCTAGGCGGCCCCGGCGGCTTCCGCTGATTGGCGGCGAGTGGGCCAATGGGTGCGGGGCGGTGGGCGGAGAGGCCAATGGCGCGGCGGGAGGGGGCGTGTCCCGGGTGCCCCTGGCGCCGGCGCTGGGAATCCCCGTGCGGTCAGTGGCGTTTCCGCTCGGGCAGCGGGCTGAGTGAGCTGCCGCCGCCGCCGCCGCTGCCGGGGGAGGGGCGGCCGCCGCCCGCCTGCGCTCAGAGACTCACGCAGCCCCAGTCCCGCCAGTCCGCCAACACAGTAGTGCCGGCCCCCCTCTTTCCCTGGCCCTCCCCCCTCCCCGCCTTTGGCTCGCTCCGCCTTTCTGCCCCCCACCCCCACCTCACGGGTACGGGCCATTCCCGGCCAGGAAACGCCGTGGCGCCGCGTTGGGCCTAACTCGAGTCCTGCCGCCTCCCGGGAGTGCCGTGCGCCGCAGCCCGGGCCCAGGCCCCGGCAGCGCCTGGGACAAGGTAAGGGTCCGACAGAAAAGAGACCGAACCTCACGATCGGGCCCCAGGGGTGGGAAGGGTCACCTCCTCCGTCTCCCCGCGCTCGCTCTCCTTGGGTCGTGGGCCTGGCCCTCCCCAAGCTCTTAGCAGGAGGATGCTGCCCCTTCTCATTCCCCTCGCCGCCTCGCACACACCGTTGCAGCACCCCATTTTCCCAGGGAGAGAGGCCCCGTCTAACCTAGGCGACCGAACTCCCCTTTTCATGTCTTTCCTGGGTCAGGACGCTTCCCCTCCCCCCACGCCTCTTCACCCCCCTTCCTGGGAACTGCCTACTCTACGTTTACCTTTCTCTTGAGGAGAGGCCTCTCGCTGCCCTCCGCTCTAAATACACAGGCATACTTTTTTTCTCTCCCCGATACCCCACTCCCTACCCCCGTTCTCGCGGCCTTGTGACAGACAACTCTGATGGCTCTGGGGACCGCGATCTCCCCTCCGTAATCTTCCTGGACGCCTTCCCTCTCGTTTGCTGGCTTCCCACCTCAGATGGCTGCTTCCCAAAGGCATTACCTTCGCCACCCCCACCACACGTTCTCTGGCTCCCCGTGGCGTGTGCCCCAGCGTGTCTGAGATAGCCTTATTGAATGTGTAGGGTTCGAGCCTGGAGTTGAGCCAGATTGTGTCGTTTTACTTGCCTTGGGCGTGGAGAGCGATCTTGTGAGAATATCTTCAAAGGCAGAAAATTTTACCCTTTATGAATTCTCTTTTCCTCTGCCTGTAAGTCGGGAATGTAAAGAGGAGGGTAGGAAAGAGCCCTGGTTCAAGTAGGTAAATCGCGTGAGAGGGAAAGTTTAACTGTTGGGAAAGCCCCTTCTATGCTAATTGATTCTATAGAGCCCTTGCATGTCTCACTTATTGGGCGTCAGTGGTCTTTCTCTCGGATACGGATGCTGCAGCCAGCTCTGCTGGTCTGGTTCAGGGGGTGCGTGTATGACCTGCGTTTTCTGCTTTCTCATGTTACTTGTGCAATGTATTCACCAGTAACTCATTTCTTTCCCAGACCTCTGGGTTCCACTGGGCTTTGTCTATATTTAAGTTCATTTCTCTAGTTTCCTTCGTGCACATAGGTACTGAACGAATCCCCAAGTTCTCTGCTAATTCCCTTCATCACTTGACTAAACAAGTTGTTTTTAGATGATATATTTGTGACCAAGGTCGTATTTACATTTCTTTGTTGGGCAGATGTTACATAGCTATACTTGTGATTGGGGAGGATCCAGCTGAGTGGAGTGTGCTGAGCTTTTCAGGAGAGTGTGTACTCCCTATTTGAAATTATTTTTTGGTTGTTAATTTTTTTATTATTGTTTTTAGATCACAGAAAGTTGTAAATGGTAATTTTAGATGTGTGGGATCTGAGCTAGGACTAAAGCAGAGAATACTCACATAAGCAGAGGTTTCTGGACTCCATGGAGGACATAGGGCATTTTTTTTTCTGTTGGATTTCTTCCAGTCTTCTCAGGATCATTAGTTCTCTTCTGTAGCCAAAAATTCTGGCCTGTTATGGGATTAGAGTCTTTAAGGTTTACTCACACTGTCATTATGTGTAGAAAAATGAATTATGCCCTTTGGTAGGACATGACACAAGGCTCTGTTTCTAGCTGCAAATTTAAATTAGACTGTAGAGTGCTTGGGAAATTGGCTTGCAAAAGACGAAAGCTTAATCTTCACTTCTAAACTGCTGGCTTAATTAAAATGGATATTTAGAATTTGGTAAATGTTGATTTTTCTAATAAAAGGCCTTGGTTTAAAAGGGTGACCTTAGGATTGTTTCTTTCTAAAAGCATAATTCCAGCCCTTCTGGCATGGAGCACTGGTTCAAAAAAAAAAAGTGTGTGTAAGGAGTGGGGGTGGGGTAAAGAGAAGGTTGTTCCTTTGGGTTGGATCACAGGGGTGAGTATACAAGGCAGCAGCAGCTGCTGGCTCTGGAGCTCTGGTTGCTACGTGAGAAGCTTGAGTAGTGCTGGCTGCTGTCTCCAGGGAAGGACAGCAGTGCAGCGTCCATTAATGCTGCTGGCTGCAGGGAGCAGCACTTAGGCGATGGCTGCTTCAGGACTAAGAAGAAACCTTGCTTTTCTGGGAATTTTCACTGCTGAGCTGGTTTGCTTTTTATTGGTGGGGAGATGGGAATTAGCAATTCATAACCTCCTACCCATTTATGGGTATTGGCATCTGGAAAGTGGATCATAAAGACTTTCTTTTTTTGTTTGATTTGGTTTTTGCTTTTTGGCAGATATTTGTTTTTTATCTAGATATTTGTGCTTGGATAGGACTAAAACTTCCATTAGAGTTTTAATTTTTGAATCAGTTAAAAAACCCAAGTAATAATTTTAAGGATCTTTCTGATAACCACAATGGGAAGAAAATAACAGGAATTTTTTTCCTGCAACTGACATATCATGTTTTCCTCCATCTCTTTAATCATAGAATCAATTCTTACTATTTTGTTATGTGTCTCCTTTCTATTAAACCATATTTATCTTATAGATGATTTGCTAAACATTTTACTAAGCTTGGACTCTTAAACTCTAAAAAAAAGGTGCCATTTTGGAGTGGTTTCTAAATAAATATTTCTTTTTAATTTGTGTATTAGTAATAAACTTCTCCGGATTAGATATTTTCTTTGGAGTTTGACTTATAAGATTGATTCATTATATACTTGTTGGATATAGCCTTCTGACATCACAAATATATGTCTTTGGCCATAATCCATCTGAAATGTAGGACACACCAGAAGAAATATGCAGAAATCGAATAAGTCTAGTTCAGGATACTGAGAAGATGGCCTCTGAGCCCCTTAGGTGATCTCCCCTCCCCCACAACTCTTGAACATTAGGATGATCTCTGATTAAGCAAAACAATCTGAGTGTGGAAAAGCTTGAAGGAGAACCACCATCACCAATTATATGCGATACTGGACATATGCATGTGTGCTGTTTTTCTCCCCCAAGACTAATGTATCCTATACTTTTTTCTCCTCAGAATTTTGATTTGTTCATTTTTGTGTAAATGTACTTAAATCTCATAAACACCTATAATTTGTAGTATGACTGGCATTTGTGGCAGAGAACCAAAAAGAATGGAAATGAGTTTTGTCATTCACAAATGTGGCTCACGTTGTTGTCCCAGTAATAAAAGCAGACCAGTGAAACAGAACCTTTAATGGATACTATTTTAGGAGGTTCCAATTCTTATTACTATCACATAGATAAGATGCAATAGCAGATAAATATGATTTCATGTATACTGGCTGTTTGACATAACTTAGGGTTTAAGATAAAAATGTCTGTAGTTATTTACTATGTGGCTTAAGTTGCCATATAAAATAATTGCTTTTTCACTCGAATTTCCTGTTGTTTGGAACCTTTTGTGCTCTTGATATAATCATTTTCTAGAGGATCATACAGGGCCTTTTCATAGAAGGATTTACTTAAGTAATAGCCTTGAAAACTTTTTTGTATCTTTTGATACTGTTTTCTGTCCAGGTACTGACTTTCTGAAATTATTCTGGCTTTTCTGGGGAGAATGACTATTTCATTTTTACCTTTGAATGGGGAAATAATAAATTGCAAAGTACAAATTTGCAGATCATTACTTTTGCTTTATCCTTTCCATATCGAAATAACTTATGAAAAATTAGGCCATAGTTAACAGCAGTCAATGACTATTGAATACATTTTATCAGAGGGAAACTGGATCATGAATAAAATAACATTTTAAAAATAATTTTTGGCTGAACTCTGGTGATTCATCAGTTTAATTTGAAGTTAGGTCTAGCAGTGAATTTTATTTATAAAAATTGTATTTCAAGTGTTGAAAACTGGAACTTCTAGATAGTATGTTTTGTTTGAGGCATAAAACTTTGTGCAAAATGTGTAATGTATATTTGGTAATATAATTGGTAGTCATTTGTAATTAAAAATGTTTTTTCAAAGGTACTCTTTAGAAAATAAGTGTAATGTACCTATGATGGGCAGGGATTGGTACCATTCCT